CAGTAGCGGCCCCAGTCGAAGGTAGCCGAGGAGGCCGAGGCCGTAGAGGGCGGCGGCGGCGACGGCGTAGTGCGGCAGCAGCGACTGCAGACGCCGCGGGCGAGGTAGTCGCGCACCGTGTTTGAGGCGCTGCCACTGGGTGACCTCGGGGCCGAAGCGGTCGTAGGCGAAGCGCGCCGCCGGGTTGAGGAGCGTGTCCGAGGCGAGCTTGAGGTGGATGAAGCGCGAGGCGCCGTCGGCGTCGGAGGACTTGTCGGGGTGGTGGACGGCGGCGAGACGGCGGAAGCGTGACTTGATCTCGCGGTCTTCCGGGGCGAGCGTCGACAGGCCGAGGTCCGAGTAGAAGCTGCCGTCGCGGCGCAGCTCGTGGTCGGCCTCGTAGAGCGTGTAGAGGAGGTAGAGGGACACGACGAGGAAGTGGATCCTGCGGCGGTGCGTGATGTACTTGGCCGAGCCGGGCTGGGGGCGCGGGTCGCCGGCGCGTATGGTGATGGAGTAGTAGATGGTCTGCGTCCAGCCGGTCACGAACTGCAGCAGAGGTCAGTGAGCAGCTCGGCGCATGGCCAGGTGATGGTCGAGGCACCTCAACCTCGAGGCAAGGCGCCTCGCGATCAGAGGGAAACGTACGTTGGGCAGAAAGGACCACCCTAAAAGGGAGAGAAAGTTGGACATGATGACAGCAGCAGCGGTTGCAATGACCGAACTGTCATCTCACAAAGTACCGTCGATCAGTCGGAGACGAAAAAGAACGTCGTTCTCGGAAGTTTGGCGGGATTCGGGCGCGCGACACGACAAGGTCGTCGAGGTGCCACCAACCTGCAAGCTGTCAAAGACAAGGCCAAGGCCAAGGCCAGATCCACGATAAGGATAAGGGTCGCAGTGTAGTGCAACAGTTGCGTCACTGGCCTAGGCTGCTTGGCTTATGTAATACGACCTGGTGTAACCACCTCGACGCGCATCATCTCGAGCCAGCAGACATGTTCTTCCTTCTCGTAAAATTACACTTGACTGTGAATCCCTCCTAACTCAATCATATTCATGCTCATGCTTGTCAGCACATCGTCACAGGACGTGTCAGGTTGCGAACCCACGCGGACCGCTAGTCATCCTGTCTACCATGGCCACACGTCAACAAACCGAGCCTCTCGGGGTTCGCGATTCTCAGCATGAACCATCGGAGAAGGTCGGGACTCACGCTATTCAGGAACATACGAGCTTGCCAGAGTCGCTGGCGTCAATTCGGATCATGTCTGCCTAATGCTGACATGCTACGTGCCAGCACATGCTCAGGCCTGATTTGCAATCCAATGGCAAGACTTTCCAGTCGTCCCCTAATGCGGGCTTACGTGCCCCTGCAGTCAACATGGAGAGCTACGTGAGCATTTATCGCCCTGAACACGGCACTCTCCGTGAAATCTTGGGCCACACCTCAGCCGAGCTAGTTCTGTGCATCTTTGGAACCAAACTTGGCGACATCTCGGAACAGGGGCAGCACGACCAACATGAGGTTCTCAGTTGACCTATGTGGCAGCATCCAGTAAGTGCTCAATACTTTCACTCGGTAGTCGGCATGAAGACCTGTCTCCTTGGCTGAGTGCTCTGCCGTGAGATACATGAAGGTGTAATGGACTCCCCTTTCCGAGACATTCATCGTCGCCAAGGACTGTCCAAGAGGTCACACTTCATGATTTTCGTTGTGAGAGGCTTTACCACGACGCCACATGGTTCAATATTCATTTTTGATCATGTCGCGTTCAGCCAGAACAGACGGCGGGTATGCATAGCGGCAACCCATGACAGGAAAGTCGAGTGACCTGCCAAGGACATTTCTGTGTTGCACAACATGCCGCTATGTAAGCCATATGGAATGGACAATGTCCTGACCTCATTGGATCGAGGCGATTTGATATATGCACACGCACGCACGCACGCACACCAAACAAACTCGTGCCTCAATACGCCTCACCGGTGCAGCTGACAGCCTTCATCGAATCGTTATGGCTCAGCTCGCCCAGGGCCCTGCCTGAGAAGCACAAGATCCGCTGTCAGATGATAACTGCATAGCTGTTGTGCAACCTGTTCCCCCCCCCACGAACCTGGGTTCGGGTTCCAGCGCAAGGCTCGACTTGACCGCCAGTCGACCTGATCAGACGCGAGAAGCGAGAAGCGGGAAGCGCTCAGCCTTTGGGACGCTCCCGCCCTCAGGGTCGCGGATGATGCTGAGCCAATGAGCCAGCGGATGCCCTACACACCTCTCTATCTCATAATTATATGAACACAGCTGGTTGGTGGTTCGATATCTGGCCTGGACTATCTACCGTCTCGGGCACATGGTCTGTCAAGGTAGCGTTCAAAGGGCTCGGCAAAGTCTATCAGCCGATGCCGCAGCGGCACGAAGCTGGTCCGGTGAAAAGTAAGGTACCTCACCGAGAGAGTCTTGTACGAGGCACTGACTGCATTGTTCCCGATAATGAATGGGGGTTGTCTTGCAACGCTTTCACGGCATGAGGCCATGTAGCAGCCTCGACACGGTCTGAGGCGACATGGTCTGAGGCGGTGTCCAGGGCAGTGGCGGATGCGTGTAGGCATGGCACTGCCTGCATGAGGCAGCTGCAGCCCAGGCGGCATAAGGTGAGTGGGCGTTTGAGGCTGCCGCTGGTGGTGATTGCCAAAAGGGGCAAAAGGAGTCGAGGTCGGCGCCAGGAGAGGGAGCCGCTTCATCGTGATTGGATGCAGTAAGTGAGTCAGCCAAAATAGCAGGGGCAAGCGCAGGTGAGCTACGGTACGCAGGTCCTCGCTTGTGGTGCCCAGGTAGCTCTTGCTTTCCCGGGTGGAGGTGGGGCCGTTCAACGTCTCTTTGTTCGTAGGCACCGTTGGCCGACCGCCTTTGTCTGATCTCCAGAGTCGTTCAGAATAGCAGCATCCTTCACACTAGGTGCATTCGGAAAGCCGGGCTGCTTCTTCTGCTCATTCGCTTCAACCCCTTTGCGGCCGAGAGCCCGCCCACCCCTCCTAACCCACCTCATGCTGAACCTTGCTCAGCTCGGCGTACCCAATCATGACGTCCCAGTTGTCAGTCTGACTACTCGACCTCACTCACCGGCGATGGTCTTCTCTGACAGCCAACGAGGTGCCTCAGCTGCCCGTATCCAGCGCGCGTGCCCATGCCGTCATGCCGCACTTCAGTCCCTACTCGCCTGTCTGTGTAGTGGCCCGGCTCCGGCGTGTCGGGACAGCGATGATCACCTCGTATAGTTGCAACGCTAACAGCCCTTCACGTCTGGGCACAACCGGCCGTCCGGCGCCCATGTTGATCTATTCTCAACTCCATGCGCCTCGCGCGATCATCAACACTACCTCATGGACTCGGACCGAGTCCTCAGCCCAATTCGCAGCCGGCCCAAACTTTCCCTCCGAGTGAGCACCTCAACCGAAGCAACCAGAATCAAGACAATCGATAGCCGTGGCTACACAGCATGCGGTGGGGCCTACAAGTGACCGATTCTGCAGGGGCCACTGTCGCCGATTTTGATTCTTTCCGTCAAAAAGGATGCACACACTCTTCAGCTCGTCGTAGACACTCCCCTGCTTTTTCTTTTCTTTTTGTGTGCCTGATGGACACGGGTGTGCTCTGGGAACAGGGATCGGTCGATGCTGACAGGTTCAGATGGCCATGTCTGCTCTTCTCGTGGTGGAAGTACGCGGGCCCTTTCCGAGGGGCCCTCCTCCGTTCAGCACCCATAGTCATGGTCAGATGCGTCTCGCAGCCGTTGAGGGCTGGAATCCATCGGAAAGACACTCTGCCGCAGGCCTTGGCATGCTGTTTGATAGCTCAAGTGACATGCGACTGGCAGCTCCAGTGACGCGCCACGCTTGTCATGCAGCGGCAGCCCTAGGTACTTGTAAGCGTTTGTCTTACCCAAGATCGTAATACGCACAAGCTTCTCAGGTAATGTTTATTCACCGAATCCCCAGAGGCGTCAAAGCTCTAGTTGGTGGCCAGGGATCAGGGGTTCGGCATGTCTCAGGCCCCATGCCCTTTTCTTCTGGACTCGAGGTGAGCTCGAGTTGCAAGCGGTCTACGCCACGCCTGGCAAGGCTCGAACGCTCACAACTCTGCGGCAGAGCGGCCGAAAGACATACGAGCCTTGGTTGTTTCCAAAGTTCTGGGTATCAGCTCGCGGAGAGATGTTCTCGTTGCAAGTGAGCGTTTACCTATTTAAGATCGTTTCCCCGGACCGCAAACATGGGAAATTTACTTGTCTCATCACCAACATCACACACTCTCTTCATCTCTCCTTGACTATGTCTCTCCGATTCATCTGCTACAGCCTTGTGGCCTGCTGGGTCGCCGGCTTGACGTCGGCCATGCCCGCTACCGACCCGCCTCTCCAGCCCTTTGGAAAATATGGCTGTGGACAACACGGCCCTAAGAACCGTGCCTGCTGGCGCGATAATTTTGATATATTTACGGATACATCATCCAAAATCCCCGATACTGGAAAGACCAGGACGGTATGTGAAAGGAGGCTGCAGCGCCCCATGCGTGAAGCTGACGCTGCTTGCAGTATGACTTGACCATCACCAATGTATCAAGCTTCTCCTCGGCCGACGGTGTCAGCAAGCCTGCCATGCTGATCAACGGCCAGTTTCCTGGTCCGACGATTGTTGCCGGTGAGACAAGTTCCACTCTCACCCTGTCGATCTGACCCTGACGCAAGGAAACAGATTGGGGTGACTGGGTCAAGATCAACGTCCACAACCAGCTGCAGCATAATGGGTATGTTCCTTGCATGCAATCGGCGCTCTCAGGTCACGTTGAGACTAACTGAAGCGCCCAGCACTTCCATTCACTGGCACGGCATCTGGCAGAAGAACACAAACGACCAGGATGGCGCCAATGGGGTCACCGAATGTCCCATCCCACCCGGCGCGAGCAAGACGTACCTATTCCGCATGCATCAGTATGGTACGGCCTGGTATCACTCTCACTTTTCCTCGCAGTATGGCAATGGCGTCGTCGGCACCATACAGATTAACGGACCGGCGTCTGCCAACTACGACGTTGACCTCGGCCCTTTCTCAATCACGGACTGGTATTACGAGACGGCGGACAGGCTCGAGCGGCGCGCAGAGCTGGTCTCCAACGGTCCGCCGCCCGACAGCGACAACGTACTGTTCAACGGCACCCATGTCAATGCCCAAGGTGGTGGTAAGTACTCGAGGACGACGCTTCAGCCTGGCAAGAAGCACCGCCTACGTCTCATCAATACGTCGGTAGACAATGCCTTTACCGTCTCCATGGTAGGACACACGTTTACCGTCATTGAAACCGACCTCGTTCCGGTGGTCCCGGTGAAGAAGGACACGCTCTTCATGACGGTAGGCCAGCGATACGATGTCATTATTGAAGCGAACCAAAAGGTGGCGAACTACTGGTCAACGCGACGCTGGCAAGCAGCAGGTTCTGCGGCACGACGCGCATCAAGCAGCCCGCGGCCATCTTCAGTTATGCTGGCGCGCCGAAGACAAAGCAGCCAACCAACCCAGGCACACCTGTGAATGCAGTCTGCAGCGACACGGTGGGCTTCAGCCCGGTTGTCAAAAGAGAGCACCCAAGAAGGAGTTCCTGAAGAGCCAGGGCTACCTTGATGTCAACCTCAAGACACCCGTCATTGACGACGTTGCCGTGTTTCGGTGGGAGGTCAACGGCTCCAGCATCAACGTTGAGTGGGACAGGCCCATCCTCGAGTACATCCGCGAGGGCGACTTTGACTGGCCGCGGGAAGCCAACGTCATCGACATTGCGCAGAAGAACGTATGGACGTTCTGGGTCCTTCAGAACCTTGGGCCCATCCCACACCCAATGCACCTTCACGGGCACGACTTTCTCGTTCTCGGCGCGGGCGACGGCGAGTTTGATCGGGTGGCAGGGGTCAACTCGCTCAACTTTGACAATCCCATACGGCGGGACGTAGCGGAGCTGCCAGGCGGCGGACATCTCGTCATCGCGTTCCAGACGGACAACCCGGGAGCGCACCTGCTGCACTGTCACATCGCTTGGCATGTGTCGCGCGGGCTCAGCGTTATGTTCCTCGAGAGAAAGGGCGACATTCCCAAGACGGTCAACCTCGCCAACCTGGAGCCGAATTGCAAGAAGTGGCGAGCCTATGAGCCGACGGCCGTCTGGCCACAGTCCGACTCGGGTCTGTAGACGAGGGTGCCACCGATGTGGCTGGATTTAATGATGTCACGTGGAATCGTCTTTTGTTTCCCTTTGTCTGTTGGAAGGGCGTGGAGCATAAGCTGTATGGATTTCATAATGGGTTCTTGGGATTACCTTCCGAGGGAACGGTAATCGATCGGGGTTCAGTTGCACACAAGCAAGATAGTGCTGGTGGTTTACCGGGCACGTTGACTTACACACACACGGGTTTCCTAAATTTACACCCGATGGCCTCCCTGGGATCTGCGCTTTCTTCTGCGGCTGCGTCGAACCAATGCAGGATGCGGGGTAGTGTCGGATCTAGCTCGTTGCAATTCTTGCAAGGGATGGCCGAAGGTTTCACCTTGTATCTTTCCGCATATACAAATCATATCATGGAACATCTGCCGGGAATGACGGCTTCTTCACCGCTCTGATGGAAGGATGCGGCCATGACCGTGCTGTGCCTGGGGCTGCACATGTTGCATGTTCAGCTGGCTATGAGGACAGCTGGCGCGTCGGCGTACATGTTCTGGCCGCTGCAAGATGAACGAATGCTGACTCTGAGGTTCGCTCGCATCTATCATGGTAGGTGGCTCCATCCCGTCAGTTATTGTTGAGAGGTCTTGAAGGAAAGGCATGTTCGGCATTGCCCTGGGAATAGGGTCCAAGAATACGTTCATTGGGTCATGCATGCACAGTGAGGACTCTCTGCCTCGTGGATGGGGTTGCATACTTGCAGTGCTTCGTTTCACGAGAGACAACACAAGAGGCATCTGTCTAGGCTGCTGGCGTTCGTTGTGATTAGAAGAGAGATACTTCCCCGTGTTGGGGGCCTCGGTCTGCACGTGCGGCCCCCTCAATCTGGCAGCTGGGGACAGCTGTAGACGTCCAAGCTCAAGCTTAAGCTCGAGCTCAAGCTACCTCGACTCACCTCCTCAACACCACTCATCCACGTCACTTACAGCATCGCCATTTTCATCATCATCATCATCATCATCATCATCAACCAGATTATCATCACCTCACTCACAAGGCCGGTGGCACAAGAGACGTTTCTCCCCTTTTCATCTTCTGCCCGCCCTCGCCGCAAAAGCCATGCCGCCCATCAAGCTCTCCCTGGACGGCCAAAACCTGACCATCCCCGCCGTGCCCCTGACGCCCTCGGCCTTTGCGCCGTTTGGCGACGTCATCCAGAACCCGCACCCGGCCGTGGCCCCCTCGGCGACGCTGCCGCCGCACCTCGCCCTGCGCGCCGTGTCTGCGAACCAGGGCACGGCCATCAAGTACCAGCACCCCTCGGTGCCGGCGAACCACTACGCGACGGCCCCGTCCGGCACGCCCGCCCAGCCGGTGCTCAACCTCTTCGTGTGCGCCGCGCGGCCCCTCGACCACCCGCACCCGCCGGCGCCGCCCCCGATCTCGACGCTGCTGCCCTACACGCCCGTCGTGCACCAGGGCCCGGGCCTCTTCCGCGTGCGCATCCTCGAGCGCCACCCCTTTACCACCCAGACCTTTGCCCCGCTGGCCGGGCCCGACCGCAGCCCCGCCGCCGGCTACCTCGTCATCGTGGCGCCGAGCAGGGCCGCCGGTCCCGCGGACGAGGGGCTGCCGAACCCCGACCCGGCCGCCGTCGCCGGATCCGCGTCCGGAACCTCCGGCTACCCCGGTCGCGGCGTGCCTGATCTCGCCGGCCTCCGGGCCTTTGTCGCGACGACGGGCCAGGCCGTCACGTACGGCGCCGGCACCTGGCATGCGCCCATGGTGGCGTTGGGGCCGCAGGCCACGAGCGTCGAGTTTGTCGTGACGCAGTTTGCCAACGGCGTCGCCGACGAGGACTGCCAGGAGGTCGTCTTCGGGGCGGGCCAGGACGGCAGCGTCGTCGTGCAGGTGCCGGAGCGGTCTGGGCTCGGCGGGCTGCGAAGCTGTGAGAGGGGGGGGGGGGAGTGAAGGACGGTGCGGTGCGTGGGGCTGGACTCAAGGTGCTCGAGAATATTTTTCGCAGTACCTTACCTAGGTAGTGTGGTCTGGGAAATGAACATGAACAAGTGAGAAAAACGGCTCGATAGTAGTTATTAATGAGAAACAAAAGTATACAGTCATCCAGCCGAAAAGACTGCGCTTCATCATGTATCGCTGTCGACCTGTCTATCCAAACACCTCAATCATAAAGTGGTACTCAATCTTGCTGCCGTCATGCCGACCCCTGGTCGTGAGCTCGCTGCACTTGTCCGCCAGAATCTCGCCTACGACTGGCGCGCCACAGTAGAAAACGCCGACCTTGAGCTCCTCGTCCTCCTTGTAGTACTCTGCGTCGCTGGCTCCCTCACGCCTCGCGCTGCTGCCAGGCTTCTCTCCGCGCGCCTCCTCCCTCTTGCTCCGGCGGAACGCCCTCATCTCGTCGTAGTGTCTGTCGAGGATATCGTTAAAGTCGGGCCGCCCAAAGTGTGTCGGATTCAACAGGCCAGTCAGGGGGCTAGCTGGGTGGTCGTCGGTGCGGTGCATTTCGAGCAGCCAGCGGTAGACGTGGGTGACAATGTCCTTGCGTTTCGCCGTGACGTGCGTCTGGATGCGAATGTCGAGGTGCGGCTGGTCCTCGTGCTCACGATGCCACTCCTGGCTGCGCGACACTTCGTTGAGGAGATCGGAAAGCCACGAGAGGTAGTTTCTGTCGCGGACCATCCAGTGAAAATCGACGCGGCGGTAGTCATCGGCAAAGTCGCGCGACTTGCCGGCCTCCGGGCGGCGACTCGTATTGATCGTGTCGGCGTTGACAAACTCGTCCCTCTCAGGACGCGTCTCGTTGTCGTTGTCGTTTTGTTGAGAGCTGCAATCGTTGGCCCTTTTCCTCTTGGCTTCGTCGGAGCCGAGCAACATGCCATCGCCACCAGTGATCTTCTCGAACTTGCCCGAGGCATCGGCAGGGTCTGCAGCCGTGGCATCGGAGTCGTGGCGATCCTGAAGGTGGCCGGCCTCGAGATGGGCGGGACCGCCATGGGACATGTCGTCGTGAGCCTGCAGATCGGCAAGAATGCCGGAGAAGGGCGTGACGCCAATCCCGGCACCGATGATGACCGAGTGGTTGAACTCGTAGAAACGCTGGGCAGGCGCGCCAAAGGGCCCGTTGATGCCCACCTCAATCTCAGACTCGCCCGCGTCGCCGCCCAGCTTGCGCAGTCTGCCGGTCCAGTTACCATCCGTTTTGATGTGCACCTGCATCTTGTTGCCGATGCAAACAGAAACGGTAAAGGGGTGCCACTGCCAGATGCTAATCTCTGGCACCTGGAGGAAAATGTACTGTCCGGCCTTGTACCTCCAGAGACGCTCGCTGGGGATGATGGCGGTGATTTCGACCGTGTCGTCGTCGAGGCACTTCATGGTCGCCTTGATGCGGTGGAAACCGAGGACGACGCGGACAACGCGCTCCACGACAACCAAAAGGGTGGGGAAGGCGAGGAAGTAGCCAAACATGGGCCACTGCAGGAGATGGGCGGTCCCGTGCGCCATCATGAGGCCGATGATAGGGAACATCAGCAGGTGGCCGAGCTGGAATACTTCATAGTTCCACCTACGGACCTGCGGGATGCTCAGAAGGGAGAGTAGGTAGAAGCAGCCGAGAGCTGTGATGCCCGTAACACCGGGGACGGAGCGGACGTACTCGATGTACGGCCGGGGCACCATGTCGTCGCCCAGCAGGTAGGCGACCTCGGTCTCGTTGTTGGGGTCGCTGCCACTGACGAAGGAGCCCGTCAGGTGGCCCAGGGCGTGCAATGTCGCGAGGAGGATGGCGACGCAGGAGATGCGGATGTGGAACTCTTGCGAAAGATCCCAGTTGAAGAAGCGTGAGACATAGTAGGACTTGCGCATGAAGGTGGAAAAGTATCGCGACATGCTGAGGATGAGGAAAAAAAAGGTCGGGTAGAGGGCGCCGGCGCACGTCTTGGCCATGACGACGCCCCAGCCAAAGGCAGCACGGTACGCCGGTGTCGTCTGGTACTTGACGAGCTGCCAGATGCCAAAGGCCAGCTGCATACCGATGACGAGGGCGAGGAAACAGATCTCGGGGCCATGCACGGCCCAGTAGGCGCGGATGCGGCGCCACACCGTTACACTCTTCATGTACTGCTTCTCCTGCTTCTCCTCCTTTTTGGCCTGCTCGAGGGAGGGAATTTTCCACTCTTTGACGCGCTTGGCAAATTCGTCGCGCGGGATGCGCTGCTCTTCCGAGCCCATCATGCTGCGGAGAAAGGCATGGCGGATGTGATCATTTTCAGAATCGTGATCGCGTTTGGTGACATGGTGGGCGGCCGTGACGGGTGTGAGCTCGTCGTGTGCGGCGTCGAGCTTCTGCTCCACCTCATTGTAGTCAATGTAGCCGTCGTCATTGTGGTCGAGATCATCGAGAAACTTCTTGATCTCGTCGTCGTTCAAGTACTGGGTATCGCCGTTGGCGTCGCGCACGGGATGTTCAGCCATGAAGTGGGCGGTTGCCACTGCTGCTGCTGCTGCTGCTGCTATGATTGTCTCACGGCAGGATGGCGGAGGATCCTCGTGGTGTCGTGAGACGTTAGGGACGGTAGCGAGTTCAAGGAAGATCAAGAGGGCCAGCAGGGACGGAGAGAGCACTGAGGACGAGGGTGGACATGGATCGCAAAGGGAAAAGCCATCGTGCCCAGCAGTCGCCAACGTCAGGCGAAAACAAGACGCGTGAGGATGCAGAGAACGGATACGTCAGCGTCGGGATGCCAAGGGCTTGACGAGACGATACCAAGACCGACGGTGGTCGGGGCCAGGCTGACGTTTGCCCGTGTTGTGATTGCTGCTGGTGCTGCTGGGGCGTCGCCCCGGCCTGGGCCTAGTCTGTGTGCCAGGGCGTGATGTGGCCCAAGGGGGACGAGGTACACGTGGGGATGTGCCTGGAAGGCTGGCGGATCGAAGTACCGAGGGGATCGAATAACCTTGAAATAAACCTTAAAAGTACGCTGCCCAGACCGCCAGCGAAGAGAAAGGCGGGCGCAATGATGCAGTGCAGCAGACGCGGAGGCCCATGACGATGGCCGCACAATGTTGCTATCACGGTGGCCCTTGGTCGGGACGTGCCATTGGTCTGGACGTGGCTTAGGGCATCTGGGCCCTTTCTGGGCTCGCCTTGGGCTCGTCTTGGAAGCTGCGTCTGTGTCTGTGATCCGGTGGTAACTGACTGTTCTGGTTCGGTTGGACTGTTGCAAGCGGGAAGCAGCCAAGGACATGGCTGCTTCCCGCTTGTGGATGCAACAGACCATGATGACGCAATGCCGCGCTACTGTGGAATGAAATGTGACGCTAACGCCCTTAAGCCTTGAGCGGCTATTGAGTGCTTCTCTAGCGGTACTGCTTGGCGATACTTTCAGTACTGTCAGTGTTGGCGCAGAGGCTGTTCATCTTCTTCTTCTTCTTCTTCTTCTTCACGAAGCTAGCAGGCAATGCATGCCGAACACCTCTCAGCTTACAGTGGGTGGGTGACTTTCGAATGGAAAGAAATGTGTGCAATGCGTAACTTGCAGAGCCAGGGTTTGGCTCGATATGAGTCGCAGCCAAGTCGTGGGGGGCTGCCGTAGCCAACCGCCGAGCTAGCGACCATGTCCAAGTGAAAGCACGACAACCCCTAGAATTGACATGTCTCACAATCTGGAGCATATCAAGTCGACAATCGGGAATGAACCACGGGTCTATCTGTATCACGGTCAGGTCGTGCAATTTTGTATGCCGGGTGGTGCAAGGTCTCTACCCGTACTACAGGCTCATCCAACAGCCACCTCCCGAATTCGGAGAGTCGAAAGTCCGCGATTCTGAAGCATGAAGTATTCATATTGCCTTTTCTAATTGAGGCTTCATTGCCCAAGTCAGACTTATCAACCAGTGTCTGCAGCTCTGTTGCTAGCCTTCAAACCCCACCGCCGAATTCATGGTGCCAGGTCCCGAGACCAGATCTGTCGTGGTGTCGCAATGGGCCCTCCAGTGATGGAATCCGAAGGAGGGCGCCTGCGCTGTTGTCGACAACACAGGCCTCCCCACCACTCGTGTGATCTGAATACTATGATCGTTGGGATGGCGTTGGCGGAGTCATCGAGGTCTTGCTTGGGGTTGGGGCTGGTAGTGTAAATATTCTTCTCCACTAACAGCGTGAGGATACAGCCAAACCTGCTCTCTGTCGGAGCAATGCTACGTGCGGATTCTCTTCTGTAGAAGCCAGACGGACTTTCACTCAGTTCCCCTTTCTACCGGGTTCGGAGAGTCGGCACAATCGCGAACTGGCTTCACAGAAATACAGACAAACTGGTTTCCGCCCTCGGGAAATCGCATTCGGCCGTCGGACATTGGATCATGCCGTACTGGTGGCTGGCACTGCTTATATCAGTCATCTTGCGGGTGACGTATGCATGGCATTACATGAGGGCGCAGTCGTTGGCGCGTCAAATCCCAAGAGACAGCGGACATTGGCAGCAAGTTAGGCAGCCATTTAGGAGCTTTGCAGTGCCGACGAAGATGAGCACGTGGTGCCTGGTCTGCGGCAGCCGCTGCTAGCTCGTAGACTCCTCGGGAGGCCGTGGTACCGCCAGATCGGGCTCAACCCCGGACTTGATCCAAGGGTCTCTATTGGTGCCCATGGCAAGACTGGCCCGGTAGGGAGTTGTCAATGGCTTTGAGTTCAGCCTATCTGTTCGGCTCGAGGCTGTGTTATTGTGACACCACATCGAACTCCCCGGCCTCTGATTGTCTTGTCATCGCAAGTTTCGGGCACAGCACAACCAAAGAGGCCTTGAAGCGTCCCACATGTCCATCGGCGTGCCACATCACACTTCGAAAGCTCCCCACATGCTCCGCTTGAGGTATTGCAGATGCATTCGGACCATCTTCTTGCGGAGATGGCATCCTTCAAGGTCAAGACCCATGACAAGGTTCAAGCATTCGGCGACCCATGGATCACGACTGGCGTCGGGGACTTCATGATAGAGGACGAGAGGACGCCGTATGCGCCTGACGCGTGTATCTAGCTCCGCCTCATGTAGAGAGCAACAAACACTTTGAAGTCAACCCGGTGAGTCCGAGGCGTCATTCACTTTGCCTATATTTACGCCCTTCTCCTCGGGTATCCAAAGTCTGGCCTATCCTCATCCGCATTGCCATCACACGCCCATCTGAAAACATCGGAAAAACTCATCGACATGCATCTCATATCTCTCCTGGCCATGGCTGGCTGTTTGGCAGCGATGCCGTCAGCTCCGTCGCCCGGTCTCAGTCCTCAACTAGCGCCGTCTGATGTGCAGCGTCGGTCTCCCAAGTCGACTGTCCGGGAGGAGGTGTACGACTATATTATCATCGGCGCCGGTGTGGCTGGCTCGACACTTGCCAACCGTTTGACTGCGAGTCGAGGTACCTATTGCATACCCAAACATCTTTCAGACGCATCACAAACTAACAGGCTCGCTAGAGTTTCGAGTGCTTTTGCTTGAGGCTGGTCAGCTGTGAGACTCCAGTATTCCCAGGTTCCCTGACTAGAGATAACTGACTCGTAACAGGGACGGTCAGGAGGACATTATCACGATCCCTGGCCTGGCGGGTACGGCGGCCGGCAGCAAGTACAACTGGAATTTGACGAGTTCCCCGGCCGCAGGCACTGGAAACAGGTCGATTGCACTGCCTTCGGGCAGGGGCGTTGGAGGCGGAAGTCTTATCAACCAAATGGTGTTTGTCAGAGGGTCCGTCGGCGACTTCGATCGCTGGAAGCATTTCACCGGTAGTAGGTGGGGCTGGGCTGACATGTTCAAGAACTTTGTCAAGGCATGTCGTCTAAGCTCATACTCTTGATATCGGCTCTAACACCCTGCAGAGTGAGATATTCAGTCGTCCTGACGAGGATATTGTGGAAAACTTCAACGTCACTTGGGACAACTCTCTCCGTGGCACGAAAGGAAATGTTTTTGCCGGCTACTCTCCCTTCTGGTGGCCATCCGTCAGTGAGTCCACATCATCCACGGCAGTACCTGCCAGGAGCTGAGCTGACTTGCAACAGACAACATTGTATCTGCCGCTCGAGAGCTCGGAATCCGGGTTCTGAGGGATGGCTCTGGCGGCGACGTGTCCGGTGGCTTTTTCACCACACATTCCCAGACCCCCCGGAACGCCCGAAGCTCCGCACGCATCGCGCACTACGATGTCGCAGCGAAGAGGGCCAATTTGAGGCTGATCCAGAACGCGCATGTGACCAAGGTTCAGATCGAGCGTGGCCGTGCTATTGGTGTTCAGGTACGATTCTGATTATTGTGAGCTAGTTTTGTCCAGAAGCTTACATATGCGCAAGTTTGTCGAGAGTTCGAGCTCGACTCGTCGCACCATTAAGGCCCGGAAGGAGGTAATTGTGTCGGCTGGCGCAATCTTTTCGCCTCAGATTCTCCAGCTCTCTGGAATCGGGGATGCTAAGGAGCTGAAGACTCATGGCGTTCAGTCGGTTGTAGACCTCCCGGCCGTTGGGCGCAACCTCCAAGACCACCCCCTTCTTGTTTTGGTCAATCTGAGTACGTTCCTGCGGCCCTCTGTCCCATCCCGCAGCGGCTTTCCACTAATACCTATACCAACACTCTTCAGTCAACTCTCCTCTTAATGGGGGTAATCTGTCTGACCCCATGTTCGCTGCCGAAATGATGGCGGAGTATAAGAGCAACCGCACTGGCCCGTACGCAAACCCCGGCGGCGAGTTTCTCATGTTCCTGCCTACCTCAAACTTCAGTACTAGGGCACCTGAGCTCTACAAATCCGCCCAAGCCCAGGATGCTACACAATTCCTCCCAGCTGACACTCCGAAGTCGGTCGTTCGTGGATACAGAAAGCAACACGCACTACTCACCGAGGGTCTTGCGGCGGATGCTCAAACTCCTATGGAGATGTTCTGGAGCGAAGGGACGATGGTTTTTGGCGCGCAGCACCCCTTCTCGCGAGGATCAGTGAAGCTGGTATCGAATGACCCCTTCGACTTCCCTGCCGTTGATCCCGGCTACCTGAGCAACCTCCTCGACCTCGCGGTTATGGTCGATGCATTCAAGTTCGCGAGGGCCATCGTTGCCACTGAAGCCATTTCACAGCTCTCTCCCGTTGAAATTGTGCCCGGACCCAGCGTCTCGAGCGATGCGGATATTGAATCGTACGTCCGACAAAACCTTGCCACGTTTGCCCACTACGCCGGCACTTGCTCTGTGGGCCCTCGGAGCGCAGGCGGCGTCGTCGACGATACGTTCCGCGTCTACGGCGTGAAGAACCTCCGGGTCGTGGATGCCAGTGTCATCCCCTTGCTTCCCGCTGCTCACACCTCGAGTACTGTGTACGCCCTTGCTGAAAAAGTATGTCGTGGCATGAGAAGAGCGTTTCAGATATCATATGCTAACCATTGTTGCCTTCAGGCCGCCACGTCCATTCTGCGTGATGTTGGTTCTCGCTCGCCTGGTCGCCGAGACTGGGACTAAGGGTGATGAAGCACAACTTGCGACGACTCTTTGGGTCTTCCTTCTTGGCTGTGGGGGACTAGCAGGCACTGTCATGTGTATGCAATAGCAACAGCGTTCGCATTTTTAGCAACATCTTGTTGACAGGTCTTAGATCTATTTCCAGGTCAACCACCTGTTGTGCCATGTTTCAAATCAAGATACTACGAAGATTTGCATCAATCGATAATTGAATCACGGCTCAATAGTGTGGTGAGAATATGACATGTGAAATACAGTGGAAAGGGTGTGTACTCCATTTTGATGACAGCACTATTTGGCATTGTTGTACATCGTTAAGCTCGAAGAGGAATCGAAAGCCTGGTGGACTGCTCGCCTTCCATTCGATGCTCCTGTTGCAATCACCACGGTCACACTGTCATCTCAGTAAAGAAGTTGGTCGTTTACTCAGTCTCAACTGTCTATTTGGATTGGTCCATATTGTGTCGAACATACTAACGAAGACCATGGAAGGAGGAGCCATGAGTCAGAAGGAATGCCAGCGCAATAAGGTCTTTGCGTGTCCAGACGGTTCCCGAATGCAAGACGGAAGGGTACTTGAACTGCCTGCAACGCAGCGGCTGGTAAAATTCCTCACCATGGGGTTATCAGTCTTGTGCCTACTTGGGCACGAAGTAGTGCGTCACGATTTTTGCGGGTGATAGGTTCTGAAGACCCAAGGACAAAGCCGGTACCTCCTGTCGCTATCCACCATCAGCAGATGGATTGGACCCAGCTCGCGTACCACGAGGCACGCTTCCAGAAATGCAAGAACATCATCCATCTCACGGCAGTGCCAGTGCGCCCGTTGGGTTCAGCTGCCCCCTCCCCATATCGCTCATCGGGGAACACCGCGATCGTAGTGGGCCTGTCCGTCGGGACCCAGCTGAGCTACCTACCCCGCCATGCCGACCATGTCATCCCACTTCGCGCGCCGAATCTCAACCTCAACCCTCCCGTTCTCCTTCTCCCTCACCCACAGGACAGCCAAACCACGAAAAGAAAAAAAAAGGGAGAAAAAGCGCCTCGTCTTGGCATTCAACAAGTCCATCGCCGCAACCATGGCCACAAAAGACCGCATCACCTGCCACGTCCTCGACACGACAGCCGGCCGCCCGGCGCGCGCCCTCCGCGTGCAGCTGACGCACACGCCGCCCTCGGCGCCCGACGCCGGCGTTACGACGGCCGCCGCCACCACCCCCCGGACCTTCGAGTCCATCACGGACGACGACGGCCGCGTCAAGACCTGGCTGCCCTACAGCGCCGCCACGGCGTCGGGCGACGTCCCCGTCTACACGCTCGACGACGTGCTCGGCGAGCTCGCCGGCGAGCCCACCTCGCGCTGGACCCTGCGCTTCGACACGGGCGCCTACTTTGAGGGCCAGGGCACCGAGACCTTCTTCCCCGAGGTCCACGTCGTCTTCACCGTCCAGCAGGGCCAGGGGTATCACGTGCCGCTCCTTCTGTCGCCCTACAGCTACAGCACCTATCGCGGAAGCTGAGCGGAGCGGAGCGGAGCGATCAACTGGGAACAATGATTTAGCTGGGCGGTAACCACACATGAGCGCTCTCTCGTAGAATCAAGATAATATGTCATTGCTATTGTAACCTGCTGTAGCGGCTGTGCTGTCTGTAGCCGTGCCGCTCGTGCCAGGCGGAAAGGGATGGAGCCAGCTGCGTGTATGCCTCGCCATGTTCCATTGTCCCGCGTGCGTGGCGACTCTTGTCTTTTGTTGACCATTTCAACCCGAGAGCGACCATACGTCCCAAATCAACGCCTCCCGTGAACACCATGCTGAAATCCCAAGTTCTTGTTCGTTAAGTAAAAAGGCCGTGTCATCGTCGTGCTAGCGACGCTCGTCGACTCGGCCGCTGGCCAGAGTCCACAGCGTGCCTGCGGGGTGTCGCTTCGGTACCGCTGTCCCAGTCCTACTGGAGGAATCGCAGCTTCCTCCGCATGAAGCTGGGTCTGTGTGAACCCTCGGACATGGTGGGAGACGAGTCGCCGGCGCCGTGCGAGAAGACGCTGTCACCGTCGCGGCTTGTGCTTGGGCGGCCGGTGGAAATGCTCATGACGGGCGCCATCGGGTGGATGCTAGAGCCCGACCGTGATCGAAGACCGTCCGTGCCGTCCATCATCGAGTCGGGCGCATCTTCGTCCTCTTCGAGCAACGGGTCGATGTGGTACTTGGCCTCCATCTGGGGCGTGATGCGGCCGTGGCTAATGGTTCGCTTGTGCCTGTGTCGAATAGAGCGTCGCTTGCCGATTTTGCCTGCGGTGAGGTCGTCTTGGGAGATGAAGGCGTTGGGTGAGAGATCGGCCTCGGGATGTGGCAAGGTTGTGTTGGAAACTGGGACCATGATCAGCAAACGAGAAAGAGGAGACAATGACGCTCGGGATGCGCGACATACCGCCATTGAAAGGTTCGGGGAAGCCAGTGTCGTGTTGTCGCCTGGATTCTACAGAGGCTGGCGCTGTGGTTTCGTGCATGTCTGCGGAGGCCATGATGGCTGGCTGAAGAGGCCAATGTGAGCCTCAAGTGGGTGTGGAGTATGGGCAGGTCTACGTTGCCGATGCAAGTGGATATGAGGGGGGAATTTATGTGAAGAAAAGAATAACGTCAGGGTAGAGCCGGTCGAAGTCAGGATGGGCGAGACGCGCAGTCCGGTTGCGGTTGGGCCAGGTGGATGTATCCCTTGTCTAGGTGAACGGAGGACGAGATGCAGTGGTCGGTCAGAGAGGCGCGAGACAAAAGAGGGGTGGTTTCACTCGAAGAAACGGTTGGCCGACGGGAGAAAGAGTGAGAAGAAAGCTGGATGGATGGAGGAACAATGTGTAGGCTCTTGTTTGCTTGTCGCCTGCCGATTATCCTCCTTAGCGTCTTGGGCAATGACGAGGCCTTCTCGTTTGGGGCATGGGGCGGTAAAAAGTGATTCTCGAGATGAGATGAGACGACGGGCCGGACGGAGCGAAGAAAGCTTGGAGATGGGGCAGAGACGGAAGGGCTTATAGCAATGTCGAGAGGAGCGAGGGGAGAAACTTTTCGCGTCAACCGTCTCGGGGATGGCAGGGTAATATGAATGGGTTGGAAAGAGTTTAGAAGACGACTGGTGGGTTGAGCCTCCTTCGCGGGGATACCGCGAATACAACCCCATATACCCTGGGTGCTCTCGAGATGACAGATGAAAGGCGACATGACGAGAGGCCAAGAGCACGGACGATCGGAGCGTAGCGCGAGTCGATCGACTTTAGAGCTCACCTCACTCAACTCGACCTCTGGTCATGGGTACCCAGGTTAAGGCCATCTTCGTTGGGCTCTCTGGGCTTTCAGTTGCAACACTTGCTTGGGTCCCAGTGAGGCAGGCAGGCGGCGGGGGGGGGAGGGGGGGGCAGAAGTCTTGCCAAGAGCAAGGGCCCGAGTCGGACTTGTTGGGAGCAACATGAACAGGACAGGGGGTGCGGGCCAAGTGAATTTCGAGGGCAGGCATGTACCGAGAAGGGTGTTCGGAAGTAGCGACAGTACTGGTACTGGCACTGGCACTGCCAGTCAAAGCCACGGTCCGTGTCCCTGCGCCTCCAGTGGAAGCACGAGAAGATGAGGGTTGAAAGCCGCCCGAGAGATGGGGAAGAGGTCAGAGAGGCAAAGGTGGGCTTACCTGTCCCAAGGTGGTAATAAACGGGCAAGAGCGGTGCCGGGATGCCGGGGTTCGCGTTAGGCAGCGTAACTGGGGCGCTCGCTGGCCGATGACTCGTGTTGGCGAGGCCAGGTGGGCTGAAGAAGAGGTGGCCCCCCACTGAACAACCGCGCACTTGTGTAGGGAGGAGACGTGTTGCAGGTGGCGGGAGATGAAGATGTTCGCGACGTTGTCTGGCTAGAGGGATGTTGGTTGAGACGTAGTTTGGAGGGAAGGATATTGCGGTGAGGGAGTTAAGAAGTGCCCGGAGGTTGCTCTTACCTCCCGAATCCTGCTGACCATTCATCCGTTGGGGACACAGATGCGCGGATGCACATGCAGATGCAGTAGGCAAGCAAAGCAAGCGAGTCACTCATGGCCGCTGGCTCGCCCTATGAGGCTTCCCCCCGTCGCTGCTGAGGCACCGAATCCATCACACCCTTCCAAGCACCAGGCGGCTGTCACCGTCTCCCTGCTCCCCCACCTGTACCCGCCGCCGCTGCTCGCTGGCAATTCGCCTGCGACATCGCCAGTGGGCCTGTTCGAGCACAAGGAAGAAGCCCGTGGAAAAGTGCTGCCCGTCGACGGCCTGCCCGGCTGCGTCCCCGCACGGCGGTCACGAGCCGCGCATTGCACAGCATTCGCCCACTCATCTCGCCCTGTCCGACCCAGCAGGCCCCCAGACACTGGATGGCAGCTTGCAAGAAGGTGCAAGTCATGTCTCGCCCAAGGCATCACCACTGGCCGCGCCCTACACCGACTGAGCATGATCTCAAGGTCATGTCCATTGTTTTCTCTCATCTCAAGCACACCCGTCTCATCCCACCTCATTCATCTCACGTCACCTGCCAGACACCTATCTCACTCTCTCTCTCTCTCGGAAAACGCACGGAGCGGCGTCGTCCAGGGCATTCGCCCACCCTTCGCACCCCCAGCCCCCGATTGGCCAGCGCTGATGCAAGCCGAGGCTGCAGCCGCAGTCGCCTGAGGCGAGCTCTTACGCGGCCTGCGGCGAACCCTCCACCCGCCCTGGACCTGCCCTGGACACGCCGCGCCACCAGGCCGCCAGCCCAGCCCTGCCCCCGCACTTGTCCTTGCGTTAGGTCGCAGACCGACGCGCGCTCTGGTCAGTGGCCAGTGCCAGTGAACGCTGCCAGCTAGTCGTCGTCGTTCTGCTCGCTCTGCTCTCTCCGGATCCCGAGAGAGGAACGACGAAGCCGAGTCCCGTCCGCTCCACCTCTTCCTACGGGCCGTGTCAGTTTGGCAAGCCGAAGCCCGATACCAAGTACCCTCCTATCGCCGTGCCTTCTTCCGTGCTTCCGAAATCGATTGAAGGCTTGGATCTGCTATTCGAACGAGCTCTTCAAACATGACCCTCTTCAGGAGTCGTCGTCATCTGTATCTATGACAGACCTAATGTTGGGGTGGTGGAGCTGCCTACGTGAGAAGGCTAACGTCACCGAATGCACGGCCTACTTACTTGCCGTTTAATAGACTTTCGAGCCCGGGCTGAGTTCAACTTCACAAGGCGGACCTCTCCAAATTTAGAAATCGTCACTTTTCATTACATCACGCCGATGAGGTGGTCATCTTCGCCTTTACTTGAAGCTGTCAACGTACCTATGCAGCAGGCGCCACGCATCACATGAGTCTTTACGAGCACTTTGTTCGCATAACCGCACGAA